TCAAAAAATTATCAATAATTAAAAAAAAAAAAAGAAAATATTCATATTCACGAAAGAATAAGTAACAGTTCCATGGTCAAAAGTACGAATAAGATAAATGTATTTGATTCACATTTCGAAGTAGAGATATCTCGCGTTTTTCCCTCGTTATTCATAATACCTGAAAGATTCTAGAATATCTTTTTTTTTTTGTTTGGTTGAAATTTTCAGGATATTCTAGTTGAAAGTAAACTTGTTCATGGATAATATATCAGTATAACGGGTATAATTATTTATGAAAACTAAAGGATTCAAGAGTATTTTAATATATTGAATATTTTATCATTATGTAAAAAGTATAATATTAAATAAATAAATAAATTTGTTTGTTTGTTTGTTAATAGTTTTCGATGGATAAATTCGTTAGAAAGTTTAATATTGGAAGGATGTGAATTAATTGATGATTATTTATTTGTTAATATAATATCATCATTAATATTATCTGATAAAATTGATAAAATAATAATTGAAGATACACATAAATGTCCATTAGATAAAATATTTTATCAAATGAATTGTTCAAATAAATTATCATTATGTCAACAATGTTTTAAATTCTATAAAAATATTTCAAAAAAATTTAAATTAAAAATTCTTAATTTATCTGGTTGTTATAAAATAACTGATTATGGTTTAAAGTAAAAAGTTTTTTTAAATAAAAACAACAAAATTATTTTTTCTTTATTTTAATTTAATTTAAATTTTAGTTTATTAATAAATAATGGTATAACTGAATATTTAACATATATTGATTTATCTGGTTGTATTAGAATAAGTTGTGATTGTTTATCATTATTAGTAAGTTCATCAGCAAATTTAACAACAGAAAATATTTATTTTTGTGATAATATATCATTATCTTTATTATCAACAGCTAATTCTTGTCGAAATGTTGATAATAATTGTGGACGTTATTGTTGTCGTTCAACATATTAACTTCGTTTTTTTTTCTTTTTTCTTTTTTCTTTTTTCTTTTTTCTTTTCTTAAATTAAAAAAAGAAAAAACAAAGTTGAT